ATATTTTTCCTGAAAATCAAGTATTTCACACAAAAAAGGTATTGCATTAACACATGTTTTGCTATACACATGTTTATTCCCTTTGTATGTATTGGAACAAATATAAAACAGAGGCAGAAAAGCAAATATGACATAATGTCACACAAAACCCCAAAAATGGGCTGGACAAAAGTATTGGCACCCTTAACTTAATATTTGGTTGCACACCCTTTGGAAAACATAACTGAAATCAGTCGCTTCCTATAACCATCAATAAGCTTCTGACACCTCTCACCCGGAATTTTGGACCACTCTTCCTTTGCAAACAGCTCCAGGTCTCTCTTATTGGAAGGACACCTTTTCCCAACAGCAATTTTAAGATCTCTCCACAGGTGTTCAATGGGATTTAGATCTGGGCTCATTGCTGGCCACTTCAGAACTCTCCAGCGCTTCTTTGCCATCCATTTCTGAGTGCTTTTTGACGTATGTTTGGGGTCATTGTCCTGCTGGAAGACCCAGGATCTTGGACGCAAACCCAGCTTTCTGACACTGGGCCCTACAGTGCGACCCAAAAATCCTTTGGTAATCCTCAGATTTCATGATGCCTTGCACACAGTCAAGGCACCCAGTGCCAGAGGCAGCAAAACAACCCCAAAACATCATTGAACCTCCACCATATTTTACCGTAGGTACTGTGTTTTGTTCTTTGTAGGCCTCATTCCGTTTTCGGTAAACAGTAGAATGATGTGCTTTACCGAAAAGCTCTATCTTGGTCTCATCTGTCCACAAGACGTTTTCCCAGAAGGCTTTTGGCTTACTCAAGTACATTTTGGCAAACTGTAGTCTTGCTTTTTTATGTCTCTGTGTCAGCAGTGGGGTCCTCCTGGGTCTCCTGCCATAGCGTTTCATTTCATTTAAATGTCGACGGATAGTTCGCGCTGACACTGATGCTCCCTGAGCCTGCAGGACAGCTTGAATGTCTTTGGAACATGTTTGGGGCTGCTTATCCACCATCCGGACTATTCTGCGTTGCAATCTTTCATCAATTTTCCTCATCCGTCCACGACCAGGGAGATTAGCTACAGTGCCATGGGTTGCAAACTTCTTGATAATGTTGCGCACTGTGGACAAAGGCAAATCTAGTTCTCTGGAGATGGACTTGTAACCTTGAGATTGTTGATATTTTGCCACAATTTTGGTTCTCAGGTCCTCAGACAGTTCTCGTCTCCTCTTTCTGTTGTCCATGCTTAGTGTGGCACAGACAGACACACAATGCAAAGGTTAAGTGAACGTCTCTCCTTTTTATCTGCTTTCAGGTGTGATTTCTATATTGCCACACACCTGTTACTTGCCCCAGGTGAGTTTACAGGAGCATCACATGCTTGTAACATTCTTATTTATCCGCAGTTGTGAAAGGGTGCCAATACTTTTGTCCAGCCCATTTTTGGAGGTTTGTGTGACATTATGTCGAATTTGCTTTCTTTCCTCCCTTTTTTTGTTTTGTCCCAATACACACAAAGGGAATAAACATGTGTATAGCAAAACATGTGTTAATGCAATACGTTTCGTGAGAAATACATGATTTCCTGGAGAAATATCAAGGGTGCCAACAATTTCGGCCATGACTGTATATAAGCATAAAACGAAATGTAAAGACGCTGTCGAACTACAATCAGCTACAGATACTGCAGCTTTTATGCAGTGAAGTGATGCAATTAAAGGCTAATATTGCATCATCTCAGTATACATGCAATTTTTTATTGGTCACCAGTATCAATTGCGCAATATGCAGCTGAAGTTGCATCATAATTTTGAATGGCTTACGTCATTAGATGGGTGAATATATCATGGAAACTAGAGCCAATCAACATTTTTTAGGGTCATTTTCGTTTTCAGCACCCCAAAATTATGTAAGATTAGCTAATTTTATGCCCAAAACTTTTTACCTGTTGAACAGTGTTACTGGTGTACTGACAGGCAATCTGATGCTATCTGGGAGGGGCATGAAAACCACAGGAGCGCGAATCACGTATATATATATGTCTCCCTGTAGCAGTATTTCTGCTATAGGGCTGTCAGGAAGCGGTTACAGAAGTGGTTTGTGTTAAGGTGCTACGTTACTTTAACTGACAATTGCGCAGTCATGCAACGCTGCACCAAAATGAAATATACGTAATTTTTTTGCCCACAAATTTAGCTTTCTTTCGCTGGTATTTGATCGCCTGTGCATTTTTTATTTTTTGTGCTAGAAAAAAAAAAGTCCAACAATTTTGAGAAAAAAACAATATTTTGAACTTTTTTGCTATAAAACATGTCCATAAAAAAATTAAAAATGGAATTTCGTCATAAATTTAATCAAAAATGTATTCTTCGACATATCTTTGCTAAAAAAAAAATCCCAACACGTGTAAATTAATCAGCGACTTATGGCGGGACTGCGGCAGACATTCTGACACTGGTGGGGAACTGACTGGGTTCACTGACATTCCCAGTGACACCAATACAGTGATCTTTGCAAAAAAAAGCACTGACACTGTACTAATGGTACTGGGGAGGAAGGAGTTAACATTTTTAGGCAATCAAAGGGTTAACTGTGTGAGGGGAGTGTTTTACTAGGGGGCAGGGGGTGTTCTTCACAGTTACACACTGTTCCGGAAAGCTAAGCTCTGCTCTCCGGAAGAGTGAGCCAGAAAACTGACAGGGAGGAGAGCTGCATTGAAAACAGTGCAGCTGTGCTCCCTGTCAGTGTTTGCCGGCAACCACCGGGCTCCGGCAGGTAATCACTGGCCGGGACCCGGTGATTGACACCCGCGGCCGCAATCGGTGCCGTGGGTAGGAAGGTTGCACGTGCCCCTTACCATGTAAACAGGATGACATTTATAAACATGATCCTGTGCACAGGGGCTGCTTTGTCGCAGTACATGTACTGTGGGCGGTCCCCTAGTGGTTAAAGAACAGATATGGCCCATTACATATGAACACAGGAAGCTAGTCACAACTGCCAGGGTAAAGCTAGATGTATTAAATAATATTTCTCTTCAGTTTTTCAAAAAGTTTAGGTGTATTTATTTCATGGTTACAACTTTTTTTTGTGAATGAGTAGGGGTTTGTCAGTATGCTCAAAAAGCCAAAGTTCAGTCAAAACTCATTTTCAAATGAAGCTTGAGTTCACCCCTACTTAGCATTCCAGGAACTGCCTACATAAAGTAGTGGGGGATATATTTTTCTTCAGCAGGCTGTATAAAAGCTTAATAGCATCTTTGCTCATCCAGTATCTGTGCTAAATGTTGATATCTTACATGGTATCCAAGCAGCTTGGATGGGCACATGATTTACACAATCGAGAAACGGGATGAGTAGCAATGGTGACCTCCTTCTCCACATCCATAGAAGCATCAGTTCCTGCAAAGCCCACTATGACTTTAAGACTACGTTCACACTAGCGTTGTATGCAGGCGGCAGAGAGGCGTTTGGGAAGCGTTTTTACCGCTTCCCAAACACCTCTGCCAATTCTGCACATTACAGCACATGGTGCTGTTCTAACGGGAGCATTTGCGTCGCGTCGCGGCACAACGGATGCCTCTGGTCGAGTCAGGAGGCGTTGAAGCCTCCTATTCTAATCTATGGTACCGCTCCGCAAACGCCCAGCTGGCATTTGCAGTGCGGTTGCAACACGGTTGCGGGGCATTTGCAGAGCGGTAACACCATTCAAACTGCATTATAGGCGTTTGTGGGGCGTTTTTAACGCTCAGCAAATGCCTAGCAACCGCCGCTAAACCGTGCATGCTGCGTTTGCAGAGCGTTTGCCGAGCGTTAAAAATGCTCGGCAAACGCCGGACCAACGCTTGCCAAATGCTATAGGGGCGTTTGGCAAGCGTTGGTAAAACAGCCAAGTGTGAACGAGCCCTTAGCAACTCTTTATCAGCCATAGCAAACTGTGCTTGCGTCTGTATATAGGTTTCCTTATTCATTTCTCTACCAGGCTATTTTATTTTTTATTTCTTCATACAGATTAAACTCTGCCTTATTTATTAGAAAATTACATCAAGCCACCAATTACATATTTTCTAAAAGCAGGGGTTCTGAAGAATAAAAATGTGGCAGTTGAAACTTTTTAAGTAGCATGATATATTTGCACATAAGTGCATACACACATAATATATTACCCATTTTTAATTAACTATAAAATATGAGGTTGAGCTGAATAAATAGATACCCAATATGTCAAGCCTTAAAATGGTTGTAGTTTTTTTTCCTTTCAATAGTTTTATATTGTTTTTTTGGTATTATTAAGTACAAAGTACAATCTCAACCACCTTCTAGTACAAAAACAGAATCACAACTATAAACAGTCAACAGCGGTCGTATACAAATGGAACATAATTAAAATAGGTATTGTTCTAGATTATATGTCAAAGAAGTAGAAATAAAACATACATTATAGTTCAATCGCCGACACTGGTAAAAGGGTTATATAATTTAAGATATACTAATATGCTATCAAAATAAGAGATGTGTAGGACATCTCATAGGTTGTGGGGCATCAAGGAAGAGAGTAAAAGGAGAAAGTGGAGGCAGATTGAGGCGGATAGACATACAAAACTCTTGAGTTCAATTGGAAAATTTATTGAGGCTATAGTGAAGTGAAGTGAAGCTGTTCACTGAAATCTCTGGGTGAGCGTGTTAGATCCATGGAGTCCAAGTTTTGAAGAATCTTTCATGGGTGTCTGAGAGGATGCTAGATTGTTTTTCGCTTGTTAACCACTTCCAGTCCGGACACTTTTACCCCCTTCCTGACCAGGGCAATTTTCAGCACTATCACACTTTGAATGACAATTGCGCGGTCATACAACACTGTGCCCATATGAATTTTTTACCATTTTTTTGAGACAGATAAAACTTTATTTTGATAGTATTTATTCAACGCTGGGATTTTTATTTTTTTTGCTATGTACATGAAAATGTCCAAAAATTTTGAAAAAAAAGTGTTTTTCTTATATCAATTTTGGAAATGCAATCATTTCTTTTTCTCTCTGTCTGCATTCTTGCAGCCACTGAGAAATACTGAGTGAGCTGTGATCAGTCACAGCTTGTCACATGGTAGAAGGCTGTTGTGAATAGCCTCGTACCATGTGACCTCTGTGATCATTCACAGATTTTACAAGTAGTAAGCAATGATGTCACAAGTGACATCTTGCTTACTACTTTGCATGTGATCACTGATTGGCCAATCAGTGATCACATGATCGGGACCTCGTACAGAGGTCCCGTCCGACGATCGGTGTTTCACTGTGTCCGGAGGACACAGCGGGCACCGGATGGCGGTGCTGCGCACTCCCGGGGAGCACGCACAAGCAGGGTGCAGGGAGGCCGTTTATAAATGGCCACCCGACCCGACCCTGTAGTGCCACCGTCTAGCCGTTTATATACAACGGCCGGTCGGGAAGTGGTTAAGAAGTCAAGATAGCAGTGAACCTCTTTGAAGGATACAAACTGCTGTTTCCAGGCTTTTGCTATGGTTTGTTTGTCCACCAAGAGTACGTAAGTGGCTAGTTTAAATTGGTGTTTAGACAAGCCCGGAGGTTTTAAATATAAGAGTATACCATGTGTCTATCAGAAAGGGGCAAGTAAGTAGTAACTGGAGTAGTTTGAGAACCTTTGACCAAAGCATAGTGTAGAACATTGCCCGGTGCATTACAGCCTCGCAAGCAAATATTGGGGGCTGATGGGTGAAGAAATGTTAAGCGGGACAGGACAAGATACCATCTTGCCACCGTTTTGAAAGCCGATTCCATAGTGTGGACGTTGATGGAGCATGAGGTCAGAGTTAACCACATCTGTGACCAGCATGCATGATCTTTAGTACCTTTAAGATCTCTTTCCCATCTGAAAATGTAAGTGTGATTGTTGGGGTTCTGTAAATTAGTTAATTGTGAGTACAAGATAGAGATAAGTTTAGGAGAGAGAGGCGTCCGGTGGCAGATGTGTTCAAACAAGGATAATTGTGTGTCGGATCTTTATTAGTAAGGACCGAGTTTACCCTATATTTGATCTGGAGATCTCGGAAAAGTTCTGTAGAGGGGGCTTGATGTTTATACCATATTTTTGCCCAAGTGTAAACTGAGCAGCCCATGAGAAATAAGTGGATACATATGAAGTTGTGGGAGATCCACCAATGGAATGCGGTAGGAGATTTGTGGAATCCCATATGCGCAATGAGTGGGCCATAAGGGAACTGATAGATGTGGGTCTGGATTTCAGGGGAAGCCATAAGAGTGAAGAGAGGGAGATCAGGTGGCAAGAGAGCGCTTCAAAAGGTTACCCATATGGGGGGGGCGCATGCGCGGCCGGCACCCGTATGGACGCACAGAGCTGAGCTCTCCGTCCAGCCGCCAGTGAAGATCACGGCTCACTCAGACCCCTGGGATTTTTAAAGCCAGAGAGCCCTACATAAGAGCAGCTATGCCACGGAGGAGGAAAACCCCTGGACAACCCGGAAAACTGTCACAATTCTTCCCTGTCATAACGACAGGAATCCAAGATGGCGCCGGCGGCGGACATACCAGAGGCTGCAGACAGTAGAATGACAACCAGAGCCAGATGAAAGATCCCAGGCTGCAGCATCCATTATATCCAGGGGACCCTGGTGAGTTGTCTCCCCCTATATCCCCCACCCACACGCAACCCAGCCAAATCGTGGCCTAGATTGGACATTGAACAGCAAGGGCCTGATTATCAGGCCCCCAATCACCCAACACAGACCTCCCAGCAATAGAGGCATTCCCTGCGGCAGATCAGCCCTTAACCGAGCTATCTATGAAAAATATGCTCCTATCGCTGAGACAGACCCTGCATAATGATATATCATCATCATTATTACAAATCAACACCGCGGTCCAACAACAGGAGCATAGGATACAACATATTGAATCCAAAATGGGCGACATCATTACAGCGCACAACGACCTGATTGACGCACATACAGAACACACGTCTGACATCGAACAAATTAATTTGAAACTTGCTGATTTAGAAGATCGATCAAGATGTAATAATATCAAGTTCAGGGGCATTCCTGAAAGCGTCACTAATGAGGCATTGCTTCCCTACATTCAACAATATATGAAACTCATCATTCCATCTCTCTCTGACCTCGAATTGGCTATCGATCGAGCCCATCATTTACCCAAGCCCGCCCGCGTTCCTGTCAGCATCTATCCTTAGAGATGTCCTGGCTCAAATTCACTTCTATCATATCAAGGACAAAATTATGCTAGCAGCCAGGAACACACCTACACTCCCACCACCGCATGCCAATATCCGGCTGTTTGCAGACCTCTCGAAGGTCACACTATTCAATCGCAAGAAAATGATAACCATTACTAAAGCCTTAAGAAATCACGGCATAGCCTACCAATGGGGATTCCCCACAAAAGTAACCATCAGACAGCAGAGCCGAATTTTTACTGTCAGAAATCTTGAAGAGGGCTTGGACCTCCTTAAAGCCTGGAATATTATCCCTGGAGAAACGCAACAATCCACACCTACTACGCTCCAAAATATGGAAGATGACTAATCCAACCACAACCAACTTCTGACATCTTAACATTCTCACACCTCAAGTTGCTATACCACCTCACTATTCTCTGGCGGTCAGCCATGTTGGGAAAATTTTCTATGTTCTCAAGTTCTAGTTGGCATGACCTATGTTATGGTCAAAGCCTAATCAAACCCCCAACATCTGTAGTAGCACGATCAGCTACGCAGACCACTTACATTATCTGCGAGTATTTTTTTTACCCTCTTCCACCTTCACCTCCCCCTTCCTCCTCAGTACCACCAGTCGTTCCCTATAGCTCTATTGATCACCGGACTCCGCTGCAATTTTGTGAAGTTCTCATCTTAAATATGAGACTTAAGTTGAATAGCTCCAACCATGATGACGAAACACCTTCCACTCCAATAACCACGAAACCTCTCACCCCCTCAAGACTCCAATGCAATTCTCAACTCAGCATTCAAATAACACAATATGTTTAATCTCACTTCTCTTAATGTTCATGGTTTAAACTCGCCATTCAAAAGGTCGATGCTCCAAAAAGAAACGAGAAAATCTCAGGCCGACATCCTCTTTGTACAGGAATCCCACTTTGCCACAAACAGAACTCCCAAACTCCACCTCAACAGATTTACGCATGTCTTTTTGGCTACTAATCCCAAGAAAAAAAATGATGCCATAACTGCCATAAAAGACTCTATCCAGTTCAGCTTCATCTCCGAAACCACCGACTCCCAAGGTCGCTATCATATCCTAATTTGTCGACTGAATGACATTCTCTATACTTTAGTAAACGTCTATGGTCCCAACAAACACCAGATCAAATTTTACAACAAGCTCTACAAAACCATCACTTCCTTAAAACAAGCAAGACTTATAATTGGAGGAGATTTCAATATTATTGGCGATTCACAAATAGACTCATCCTTCCACAGAAGAGCACCTAAACAAACCTTCAATCAATTTCTGTACAACCACGACCTTTACGACATTTGGAGATGCCAACACGGCACTAAAAAAGACTTCACCTATTATTCTCCTACACACCTTGCATACTCCAGAATTGACTTTTTCCTCACAGACAAATGGACACTGCAACACATAACTTTGTCCAAAATCGGCACGATCACCTGGTCAGACCATGCTCCAATCAACATTTCGTTAGACGACAATCAACGCGCAACACTCCCGCCCATTTGGAGATTAAACTCCATAATACTAAAAAACATAGATCACCAGAAACACTTGTTAGATGCTCACAACTTATTCTTTGACACCAACTCTACTCCCAACATATCCATTACAACACTATGGCTCACATATAAAGCATACATGAGAGGCATTCTCATACAACTAAATTCTCATATCAAGAAACAACGATCTCACCAAATTGACCAATTACTTACCACCATCAAACTCAATGACGAGTCCAACAAAAGTAACCCAAATCCCTCCACGGCCGCAACCTTGACCTCAGATAGAAATAAATTACGAGTCCTTCTACTACACAACTACAATCTCAACCTCCAGAGAACTAAATCTAAATTCTATGCACTGGGCAATAAAGCGAGCTCCCTCTTATCGAAAACAGGTTAAACAAAAAAGACTTTGATCAAAAATTGCCAATGTCCAACACCCAACCACACAAACACTACTTACTAACCCACAGGATATATCCAATGCATTTGCGACATACTACCGACAATTGTACAACATCAATAATGACCCTGACACATGCCAACCCACAACTGAAACCATCCAAAACTTTTTAGACAATACCAATCTACCGCGTCTTACACCATCTCAACTTACATCCTTATCGCTTCCAATTTCTCCCACAGAGATACAACAAAGCATATCAACACTACCCCTTAACAAATCTCCAGGCAATGACGGCTCTACAATCGAATTCTACAAAACGTTTGCACCCAACCTCATACAGTAAACGTCTATGGTCCCAACAAACACCAGATCAAATTTTACAACAAGCTCTACAAAACCATCACTTCCTTAAAACAAGGCAGACTTATAATTGGAGGAGATTTCAATATTATTGGCGATTCACAAATAGATTCATCCTTCCATAGAAGAGCACCTAAACAAACCTTCAATCAATTTCTGCACAACCACGACCTTTACGACATTTGGAGAAGCCAACACGGCACTAAAAAAGACTTCACCTATTATTCTCCTACACACCTTGCATACTCCAGAATTGACTTTTTCCTCACAGACAAATGGACACTGCAACACATAACTTTGTCCAAAATCGGCACGATCACCTGGTCAGACCATGCTCCAATCAACATTTCGTTAGACGACAATCAACGCGCAACACTCCCGCTCATTTGGAGATTAAACTCCATAATACTAAAAAAGATAGATCACCAGAAACACTTGTTAGATGCTCACAATTTATTCTTTGACACCAACTCTACTCCCGACATATCCATTACAACACTATGGCTCACATATAAAGCATACATGAGAGGCATTCTCATACAACTAAATTCTCATATCAAGAAACAACGATTTCACCAAATTGACCAATTACTTACCACCATCAAACTCAATGACGAGTCCAACAAAAGTAACCCAAATCCCTCCACGGCCGCAACCTTGACCTCAGATAGAAATAAATTACGTGTCCTTCTACTACACAACTACGATCTCAACCTCCAGAGAACTACAGTAAATCTAAATTCTATGCACTGGGCAATAAAGCG